GTTGTTTCTTCTGAGACTTCTTTCCTTGGCTTATAGATGGCTGCCTTCTTGCCATGTCCTCGCACAATTATCCCTTGGTCTCTGTGTTGTCTGTGTCTTAATCTCTTTTTATAAGGATTCCAGGCATTTTGGATTAGGGCCCACCCATATGACCTCTTCTATATCTTTGTCATCTCTTTAAAGGCCCTGTCTCAAAATACAGTCACATTCTAAGGTATTGGGCAATTGGACTTTAACATATCAATTTTATAGGAGATCCAATTCTGCCAGAACACTACCTCATAGAGTTACTGTGAAGATTAAATGAGATGATACAGGTAAGACAATGAACAGGGGACCTAGAATGCAGTAAGAGCTACCAGCAAGCTGCAAATCACTCCTCAGCAGGATATTGGCTAAAAGTGCTCAGGGCTTCTCTTCTCATCCAAATGCAGTCCAGAATCATCCTTGCTTAGGAGCTGCAGTCCCCATCTGAATCGCATGAGTCTTCCATTCTGGTCTGGCCCCTCCCTAGGGTCGATAAGATGTTCTTCCCATAGAAAGCTCTCAAATTTTCTTTCTGTAACTGCACCAAGTTTAGTCTTTAGAATGAGAACATGTCCTGTCCCAGCTTCTTAAGGCTCAGAAAGTGCATTTCCAATACTACTGCTATTTCTACTCTTCGGACAAGTCACTTATTATTAAACTTTAATGATAATCACTTGCATTTATAGCCTCTTTCAGTTTACAAAGCTCTTATCCATTATCTCTTTTAATCCTCACAACATCTGTGAGAAGGAATTACGTTCTTCTCCACTTGACAAATGAAGAAAACAATGCTCTGAGGAGTAGCATCGTCATCCTGGTTACACAGTTAACATGTGGCAGAGATAGGCTTCAAATTCTGGTCTTCTACTTTCAATCTATCAGGACTGGCTCACTCATCCAGGCACTTTTCTTCCTCCCTCCCTCCCTCCCTCCCTCCCTCCCTCCCTCCCTTCCTTCCTTCCTCTTTCTCTCTTTCCCTTTTTTTCTTTCACAGAGTTTCACTGTTGTCGCCCAGGCTGGAGTGCAATGGTGCAATCTCAACTCATTGCAACCTCTGTCCCCTGGGTTCAGGCGGTTCTCTTGCCTCAGCCTCCTGAATAGTTGGGATTACAGGTGCACGCCACCACACCCGGCTGACTTTTGTATTTTTAGTAGAGATGGGGTTTCACCATTTTGGCCAGGTTGATCTCCAACTCCTGACCTTAGGTGATTCACCCACCTTGGCCTCCCAAAGTACTGGGATTACAGGTGTAAGCCACTGGGCCTGGCCCAGGCATTTTTCTATAAAAGTGGTATATTGGATAAATAATGCCCCTACCTCTTTCGGAGGAATGTAGGTAAATTATTGAGGTTAGTTATTTTGATTGGAAGTTATTAAAAACTAACTCAAACTGGTTTAAGCAAAAATTGGTTTATTAACAGTTTGGAAGTAGATTTTCAGGCACAGATGGATCCAAGTGCTCAGACTATGTCACCTGAATGCTCTCTCTCCATTTCTTTCTTCTTCTTCCGCCTCCTCCTCCTCCTCCTCCTCTTTTTCTTCTTCTTCCTTTTTTTTTTTTGAGAGGAGTCATGTTCCATTGCCCAGGATGGAGTACAGTAGCAGGATGTCGGCTCACTACAATCTCTGCCTCCCAGGTTGAAGGGATTCTCCTGCCTCAGCCTCCCAAGTAGCTGAAATTACAGGCATTCCCCACCATGTCTGGCTAACTTTTATATTTTTAGTAAAGACAGGGTTTTGCCATGTTGGCCAGGCCAGTCTTAAACTCCTGACCTGAAGTGACCTGCCTGCCTCGGCCTCCCAAAATGCTGAAATTACAGGTATGAGCCACCGTGCTGGCCTCCTTCTCCATTTCATAGCTTTCCTTTATGTAGACATTATTTTTAGACAAGTTCTCTGCTGAAGCTCTGTCTCTACTAGCTTCAGCTCACAATTCCCTCAGCTCAACACATGCAATAGAAAGCGAATACCTCTTTTCTGTAAACTGCAACACATGAGCTGGATATTATTCTCAACTCTTTGACCTGGGTTATGGGCCCATTCATAAACCAGTCACTGTGTCCAGGACAGTGGACTATTCTCATTGTCCAGGCCTGGACATTTGTCCCCTCTGGAGTGGAGTATGGTGTGTGTGTGTGTGTGTGTGTGTGTGTGTGTGTATGACAGAGAGAGAGAGAGAAAGAGAGAGAGAGAGAGAGACCCACTAAGGGATCAAGTGTGGAGAAAGAAAGTTCTTCAAAGAAAAAGCACTGTTGTCAGAAATGAGTGGGTGGTGGGCAGACCTCTAAAGGGTGTCTTTGCTCTGTAGAGCAGCCACAGAGGACCTGGGGGTCCATCTTAGCAAAAACTCTCACTTCTTGCCTTGAGGGAAAGTAGTAAGTGGATTTTTATGATTTTTTTCCCCAGGACTGCTTAGCTTGGCTCAGCAGGCTAGACAATAAGGCAATAATTCAGGCAGGGTAAGGAGTAAAGAGTAATAAATGACCTGGTATACTCAAGACAGGACCCAAACCAAGAGCAGCCCAGAGGGGACTCTGAGATGCTCTTTAACAATGGCCACCACCCTGCTCCTTGCCCCCATCACCTTCTGTCTTCTGTGAAGCTGTGAGCTCCATAAGAGCTCACGGGCAGGGACCATGTCTGTTTCACTGACCACCTTCTCCCCAGTGCTTAGTCTGGTAACTGTGGCTGGCACATCACAGGGAACTCACACATTTATTGGATGATTAAATAAATTAATGAATCAGGTTGATCAGTCTGACTGGCAGGTGTTGGGCACATTGTGTAAAGAGACCACCAAGCAGGCTTCATGTGGGCAATGAGGCCATTTTATTTGGTGCTTAGGTGCAAGCAGGCCAAGTCCAAGAAAGGAGTTAGGCGAGGGGTGTAGGAATAGAAACTGGTTTATAGGTTGGGGCAAAATGGTCAGTTAAAGGTGGTTGTCTATTTTAGGGAGGGGAAGGGTGTCATAGGATGCATGGTCACAAGGGTAGAGGGTTATCTATTACAAACAGGCCTAGTCATAAGGGTGGGGGTTATTGGTTGCAAGCAGTGGGAAGGGTTCAGTTACAGGGGTGGGGGACTTGAGAAATGTAATGTTTGGGGGAGAAATTTCACAAGGTTGAGCAGAAACAATGGTTGAATATTTTAGGGAGTGAGCAATCAGTTGAGGCAGGAACCAGTCGTTTCAACTCTCTTTGTGGCCATCCAGTTACTTCAGACTTTCTGGCTCCTGGAGACCATTAGGAGGTGTACGTGCAGGTCACCAAGACTATAATGGCCTGGTTTGGACTTAGCGCCTGACAGCAGGATCTATCTACCTCTCTGGATAAATCAACCCCCTTCTTTGACCTCTGTTCCCCATCTATAAAGTGGGAATACGTATAGAATGAAACGTTCTCCACAGACCCTTCAGCTCATGATTCCAGCATAGCAGGGTTCTCAGGAAACAGCCAGGCTGCCTTTCAAGAAACCAAGTAGAAGGGGCAACCAAAATTTATTGAGCACCTCATGTTCAGGGGCTGAATGAGACAAATTCATATGGCTCCAAGGTCTTTAAATTATGGAATTTTATGGATCCATAACTTTAATAAAATTTGGGATTGAAATAGACTACCTATTTTTATTTTGCCAAATAAAGACATTTTAAAAACCTTCCATTAACTATCACCACTATTTCTTAAAGTAAGTGGATTTTTTTGCGCTAAGAAAGTAGGAAATACATAATCTCAAAACAAAAAGAGCAGTCCTACTTCCCCACTGGAGAAAAGATAACTGGCAATCTTACATGATTTTTTTTTGCACGTAGAAATTCATTTCTTGTTGTATTTTATTATTTCTTTTAGAGATGAGGTCTGTCTCTGTAGCCCAAGCTAGAGTGCAGTGGCATGATCATAGCCCATAGCAGCCTTGAACTTCTGGCCTCAAGCGGTTCCCCCACCTTACCCTCCCTAGTAGCTTGGATGACAGGCACAAGACACTGTTCCCAGCTCCAGATAGATGTTTTGAGATTGACCTGTGTATGGGGTCCAGTGTTTGAGACCTGCTAACATGGATTACTTTTTGCCACTTCACCCCACTTATATATCCATCCACTTTACAGATGAGGAGACAGGTTTAGAGAGAGTGGTAGTGCAAGGTCACAGAGACAGTGTTAGTCTCAGTTTGTCTGGGTTTCAACCCACATCATCTTGACAGGTCCTAAGCCAAAGGCTATTTTCCAGCTGGGAAGGAAATGACACATGCTCTCTCTGTTGCAGTGCCCCTGGGGTGTTCTGTGGCCTAACCCTGTGCCTGGCCTTTGATGCTTTGTTCTTTAACACATCTTTATGGTGTGCCTACTTCATGTCAGGCGCTGGGCTGGGGGCAGGGGAGAGGGTAGGGAGGGAAACTCAAAATGTCCCAGCCCCTTTCTCTCCTGTCCCCCAGTACTCACTCTGGGTCCCGTTCCCCAGGCTTGGCTCCCTATCCTGGTGGCCAAGGAATCCCCATCGCAGGCGTGGGCTGCTAGCAGTTTAGGGGGTTCCCTCTCCCAGGGGTGTTAGCAGTTTCCTAGGAGACTCTGGGAACCTTCAACGCCTCCAAGACCCAAAGGACCGAAAGCGTAATGGTGTAACTTCAGGCACTGTGCTAGGTTGTAGGGGAGGTAATTGGGAGCAAGAGATCCAGTTCAAATCCTATCAGATAATACTCCCTCCAGCCCCTCCCCGACTCCCGTGGGCTTTGTGGGGCCTCACAGCACCTCAGCTCAGAATGGAAGAAGGGAGGCTCCCACATCAGGGGACCCTACTGTGGAGGGGTGCTTGCTGCCCTGGCTGGGGGACGCCGGGGATCGTGGCCACCCTTCCCTCCAAATACCAGAACCAGGAGCATCCTTCCCTGGTTCCGCCCCGCTCCATCCTGCACGCCCGCGCGGGAGCGCGCCTCCTCTGGGCCGCGCTGGTGCACGAGAGAGCGCGCCTTGGCGCGGGAGCGCGCCCCGGGGAGAACCCGAGCAAGATGGAGGCCGCGCAGAGGCCGCCGCCTGGGCCGAGGCAGCCGCTGCTGGGAGCGCCGAGCCGCGGCGCCTAGGCCGTGCCAGTCCAGGATCCGCTGCCCCTGACCGTGCCCAGGTTGGTCTCCCCGCACCCTCTCCCCTCGGCCGCAGCCTCGCGCGCGTCCGGCCTGGGCGCGGGGCAGCCGCCCCCCCCAACCCTGGCCCTACTTGGGCCCGGCCGCTCCCCAGCCCCCCGGGGACAGTCCCTGCACACCGCCCGCCCCTCGCGGGCCCCGCTGCCCAGCAGCCCCGGTCTTTCGTCCCTTTGGCCTGGAAAGCCCCTCTCCCCAATCCTGGCCCGCCAATCCTAGGCTCCCTCCAGCCTACCTCCAGCCCTGGCTTCTGAGGACACCCCCCCACCTCGCCCCGTGTCCAGTAGTCCCAGCCGACTCCCCTCTAGCCGTATCCTAATTTTGCCACTTTGCCCTCTTAGACCCTCATACCAGCCCCCATTTCCCGTCCCTGCCCCCATATCATCTTCCCAGTCACCCAGTCCCAGCCTCTTTAATTCCCTCTTTCCCTATCCTAGAAGCGCCCACCACCGCCTCATAGTCCCTTCCTAGACACCCAATACCAGACCTCCTTCTACCCCTTAATACCAGCCCCCAAATTTTTCTAAGGAGCTCCTCAAATTCAGCCCCTCTGCTAATCCTCCAATGCCAGTCTCCAGCCTCCATTCCACCTCCCCCCCCGTCCCCTCCTACTCCCCTAATACCAGCTCCCAAATCCCCTCCCCAACTCCCCCATGACCACTTTCAAGCACCTCCCCCTCACTTTCAGGTCTCATATCCCCATCCCAGGAGCCCCCCAACTTTTTCATGGCCCCTTCCTAGGTCCCCCAATAGGACACCTTTGCCAGTCCCCCTAGACACCGCCCCAACACGCTCATGACCCCCTCCTCTCTCCCCATATCAGCTCTCAGACGCCCCCAGCTCTGCCCCAGGCCCCGCCCTCGCGGGTTCCTTGACTCAGGCCCGCTTCTCGCGTGCGTCCCCAGCTCCCGCCCGGCAGCAGCCCGGCGCTCCGTCCCGGGCCGGCGGCCCCAGCCAGCCGCCGCCGCCGCCGGCCCCGCCCCCGGGCACCATGCTGCCCTCGCAGGAAGCCTCCAAGCTCTACCACGAGCACTACATGCGGAACTCACGGGCCATCGGCGTGCTGTGGGCCATCTTCACCATCTGCTTCGCCATCATCAACGTGGTGGTCTTCATCCAGCCCTACTGGGTGGGCGACAGCGTGAGCACTCCCAAGCCTGGCTACTTCGGCCTCTTCCACTACTGCGTGGGCAGCGGGCTGGCGGGCCGCGAGCTCACCTGCCGGGGCTCCTTTACCGACTTCAGCACCATCCCGTCCAGCGCCTTCAAGGCGGCCGCCTTCTTCGTGCTGCTCTCCATGGTGCTGATCCTTGGCTGCATCACCTGCTTTGCGCTTTTCTTCTTCTGCAACACGGCTACGGTCTACAAGATCTGCGCCTGGATGCAGCTCTTGGCAGGTAGGGGAGGGGGTGGGCAGAACCCCCGGAACAGGCGCCGAGGACGGGACTCCTTCCTGCCAGGTCCCCTTCCTGAAGGAGTCAGATAGATTCTGCTTCTCTGTGTTAAGACACACACCTCCTTGGCTGACGGACCCTCAGTGGCTGCTGGGGAGGGGGTGCGCTGGAGAGAGACACCTTAGGGCAGGGTACAGAGCCTTAGGACTGGGTAGGTGGGTCTGTATGCTTGGATATGGGCAGACTGCATTTATTGATGGGTTGGCTTCATGTTAGTGTCTCTAAGGGTCTCTGTTGGCTATCTTGGGGGAAATATTTATCTGAATGAGGGGTTGCTGTAGGTATGATCGATTTCTGTTAGGTTGAAAAAAAGCAGGATATAGGGAATCAAGAGTTCTGGCTTGGACTTTTAACTTACTGACACTATCAACTTGGGTGTTTCACTTTACTTCTCTGAGGCTTGGTTTCCTCGTCTGTAGAACAGTGGAGAGGATTTCAAAAGGACAAACAAAAGAGTGTTTTGTAGCATTTAAAATGCTGTGGTAGGGTGGGAGAGGCTGTCTATAGTACTTATCCAATATTTTAGATGTGAGTGGTTGAAAGCACTGGGCAACATGGGTCTCTGGAGGGCAGGTCTCCATCCCCCACCCCCACCTTTGCACCAGGCAGGAAAGTTCTGGTGCCATGTCCAATGGGAATGAGTCCCTGGGACCCTCTGAAACGCTTGACCAAGACAGTCATCTTACCCTAAGAACCAGAGAAGGCCCTTTTGGGAATGAGAAATGCTGAGACAGTTTTCCAGGATCCATTAGAGTCCCCCACTTCCACCTACCTTTCGATCAGAGACAGATTTTGAAGACTCAGCAACTTGGGCTTTTGCTTAATTGCTGGCAGGAAAGAGAGTTGGTCTGGGGAAAGTGGGGCCAGGGGATGGGAGGGGTGAGGGAGGAGAGCAAGTGAAGGGAAAAGTTTGGAGTCTTCCAGGAATGAGAAAGAGAAGGGGGAAATGTGATTATCATGCAGCAGATTTTTTTTTTAAATAAGCACTTCAGGACATTCAACAAGTGTCTGCCATTCCAAAAGAGACCCTTGGAGGAGGCGTTACATCACTTGCTGATTATTCCATTGCTCAAAGTATTGCAGAGAATTAGCTTGGGAACATGGGGTGTAATCACTTGAATATTTTCATTGAGAAGAAACCTCTATCTTTTTTTTTTTTTGAGATGGAGTCTTGCTTGTTGTCCAGGCTGGAGTGCAGTGGCACGATCTCGGTTCACTACAACCTCTGCCTCCCAGGTTCAAGTGATTCTTCTGCCTCAGCCTCCTGAGTAGCTGGGACTACAGACGCATGCCAACACACCTGGCTAATTTTTGTATTTTTAGTAGAGACAGGGTTTAACCATATTGGCCAGGCTAGTCTCAAACTCCTGACCTCGTGATCTGCCCGCCTCAGCCTCCCAAAGTGCTGGGATTACGGGCGTGAACCACCGTGCCCGGCCTGAAATCTCTATCTTTTAAAGGAGGAATGTAACTTTTGGAAATGGCTGGAAGTCACTCCAGGTCAAGTATAGAGAATACAATGGGTGATCAAATTGATATTTGTCACTTGGAATGACAGCCAAGGTGTGAGTATAAAGTCATGAAGCTGGTCTATTTCCACAAGAGGACTTTTACAAATGCAGGGAGGAATTACTGCCTCATTGGAAAAATTGCCCACCCTCCTAAAAGGACTACTTTGAAGAAGGCAGAGGTGGACATTCTAATGGACTTGTTTCAAATTCATCTCACCCAACTCAATTTAGTTGCGGATTTTTTTTAGGATCATTGAAGAGGGAGAAAGGTGAACTATAGGATGTGAGGAATATGGCTCCATTCTTCTCTGTGGTACCCAGGGAGGTGATATTATATATTTCTAGTGTATTTCTCCTACAAAGGCAAGCTGGAACCCTCAATTCATCAAACTTAATTTGGAGTCTGCAGATGGGTTGCTGACCTCTTGGCCTTCAAATTCTCTGTAATCTGTTTGGGCTTAATCTTGGAGATTTGATGAATTGTCCAACAACCCCCATACAATCATAGATTTTCAGGGACCTTAGAGATCAGCTCCTTCAAATCTCACCTCCCTGCCCCCTGTTTCCGAGAGAAGAAACTGAGTATAGAGACGAGAAGGGCTTACTTGAAGTCACACAGTTGGTAAGGGAGGAAGCTAGTTCTACAATTGGGGGTTCTTGACTTCTGGCTTTTCCTTACATTACTGCCCCACTCATGTGGACTGAGGGGGCAGTTGGCAGAATTGAGCAGTTTATTCCATTTTGTTCAGAGATTTCTGAGTTCTCTGGGTGAGTGACTAATTCACTTTGGTTAATAAAGTGACACCAGGACAGAGGCCAGAGCACTGGACTACGAGTGTTGGAATGGGGTTCTTGGCTGACTTGGATCTGTGACTCACCGTATAGTGTTAAGCAAGCCTTTTAGTTTAAATCTCAGTTTCCCATTTGTACAATAGGGAATGGGGAGCAGGTAGGTACGCTGATTTAAAGTATCTCTTGGGGACTAGGCGTGGAGACTCAAGCCTGTAATCCCAGCACTTTGGGAGGCTATAGCAAGCAGATCACCTGAGGTTGGGAGTTTAAGACCAGCCTGACCAACACGGAGAAGCCCCACCTCTACTAAAAGTAAAATAAAATAGCCAGGTGTGGTGGTGGATGCCTGTAATCCTAGCTACTCAGGAGGCTGAGGCAGAAGAATCTCTTGAACCTGGGAGGTGGAGGTTGTGGTGAGCTGAGATGGCACCATTGCACTCCAGCCTGGGCACCAAGAGTGAAACTCCATCTCAAAAATAAATAAATAAATAAAATAAAGTATCTTTTGGTCAGACATGGTGGCTCATGCCTATAATCCCAGCACTTTGGGAGGCTGAGGTGGGAAGATTGCTTGAGGCCAGGAGTTGGAGACTAGCCTGTTTTTTGTTTGGTTTATATCTGTGAAAAATAACATAAAATAAGTAAAAAATAAAGTATCTCTTTCAGTCCTGTGGGGATCCTGGAACAACTCTTTCATCAAGATCATTCCATTCAGAAAGTGATAAATCAGTCATCCTTAGAGGAACTGTGGAGAATCAAAGGGCTTTTCTTTGTGTCAGATAAGAATTAAAAAGTGCCTATCATAAGATATTGTTCCTGTTAACTTTTATTCAAGTATTTTAGGGTCTTCTGAGTACATAGCATGGGGCCATTGGAAAAATACAAAAAGACATTTATTCTTTTGTTTGTTTTTCACCCGCTCTGTAATCATCCCGATGCTTAGTTCTGTAATAGTGAGATGCATGAGACATCATCCCTGTCTCTAAGGATGTTAAATCTATACATTGTAATTCCTGCTCTCAGGGAGCATACTCTCTAATTAGGTCACTATATTAGTCAGCAGTCTTTCAGTGGCAAACGACAGAAACCAAACTCGAGCTGGCTTAAATAAATTAGAATAAAATAAAAAGGCTAGGGTTTATCGGCTCACTTAATTTGAAAGTCAAGAGTATTTGGCTTTGGGCATGGACAGAGCCAGAAGCTCATATCATGCCATGAAGAATCTGTCTCTCTCCATTTCTTGGTTCCTCTGTGTTCGCTCATTTTAAATCCACTTCTGTCTTCAAGGTGACAAATAAGGCTACTAGTAGCTCTAATTTACATTGTTTCAGCTTAGCAGGGCCTGTGGAAAAAGAACTCCAGCAAACATTCCAGGGCTGAGGCGGCAGATTAGCCCAGTTTGGTCAAGTGTCCACCTCTTAATTAATCATGGTGACTTTGTTTACAGCCTGAGCTACATGCCCATCTCTGGAACCACACATGGACTGATGGAGAAAGGTCGATTTCCTCAAAGATACATCAAGTGTGAGCAGCGGAAGAGGGGTAGCATGGGCAATACAAGCACTAAGCTCCCATTTCAGCCCCCTCAGTAGTTAGGACTATAGGCACACACCACCATGCCTGGTTAATTATTTAATTTAATTTATTTTTTGAGATGGAGTCTTGCTCTGTTGCCCAGGCTGGAGTGAGGTGGCATGATCTTGGCTCACTGCAACCTCCACCTCCTGAGTTCAAGCAATTTCTGGCTAATTTTTGTATTTTTTAGTAGAGATGGGGTTTTACCATGTTGGCCAGGCTGGTCTTGAACTGCTGAGCTCAAGTGATCGGCCCACCTCAGCCTTTGTTTTATTTTTCGTAGAGACAGGATCTCACTATGTTTTCCAGACTGTTCAACTCTTGGCCTCAAGTGATCCTCCCACCTCAGCCTCCCAAAGTGCTGAGATTATAGGCCTGAGCCACTGCGCCTGGTATATTTCCCCGGGTCTTGTTTCAGATTTGATTTGGGATTTTATTCTTCCGCTGTCTTTGTTGTATATCCATGATAACTGATAAACACGTTGAGAGAATTTATTTCCTCTCTCCCTCCTCCCCTCCCTCTTTCCTCCATTCCTCCCTCATTTCTTTTTTCTTCTCCCAACTCTCCCTTCCTTCCTCTCTCTCTTTTTAGTACTTTCAAGTGGCTGTTTTACTTTCTTTCCTCTCTTCTACTGTTCTCCTTTCCTTCCCACCCTTTAATTTTGCCTCACTTCTCTCTCCCCACCCCACTTCTTTTCTTTCTCTCATAAACCCTTTACTAAGAGCATCGTGTGTGTCTGTAAGGCACTGTGCTAGCCTCTAGAGATCCTGAGTAAGAATCCTTGCTCCCAGAGAGCTCATAGTCTGATGGGAGAGGCAGAAATCAAACACAGATCATCACAATGTGGTACAATACATGAAATGGGAGATTCATGCACAGGGTATTCTGAGGGCAGGGAGGGAACTTCCAACATGGTTAAGGACAGCCAAGGAGATTTTCCAAAAAGGGTAACATTTGAGCTGAGTCTTAAAGGATGGGTAGGAAAGAGGAAGAGGATGATCAAAGGCATGGAGGTGAGAATAGCTACTGTGTCTGGGGACTCTAAGGAACTAGACCAGGAAACGTAAGAGTTGAGACTGGGGAAGTGGGCTGGAGCTGGACTGTAGAGACCTTCTAAGTCATGGTAAGGAGTTCAGACTTAATTTTTGTTTGTTTTGAGACAGAGTCTGACTCTATTGCCTGGTCTGGAGTGCAGTGCTGTGATCTCAGCTCACTGCAACTTCTACTTCCTGGGTTCAAGCAATTTTCCTTCTTCAGCCTCCTGAATAGCTGGGATTACAGGTGCCCACCACCACGCCTAGCTAATTTTTGTATTTTTAGTAGAGATGGGTTTTCACCATGTTTGCCAGGCTGGTCTTGAACTCCTGACCTCAGATGGCTACCTTGGTATCCCAAAGTGCTGGGATTACAGGCATGAGCCACCATGCCTGACCTGACTTTATTTGTAGATGGCAGTGCATTGTTGAAGGTTTTTATTTTTATTTTTTCCAGACTTTTGCCTTTTTGGAAAAGTAATGCATGTACACATGACAAAATTTGGAAGGTAAAAAGGGCACACAGGCAGATATAAGTCTCCTTTACATCCTCACCCCCACCTGTTTCTCCCAGAGACAACTCCATTACCAGTTTGAGTACCCTTTCCAAAACATTTCTTAAATATGCAAGCAAATGCAAACATGTTTTTTTAATAGTGTATTAATTATCTATAGCTGCATAACAAATTACCGCAAGCTGGGCACAGTGGCACTCACCTGTAATCCGAGCACTTCGAGAGGCTGAGGTGGGCTGATCACTTGAGCCTAGGAGTTTGAGACCAGCCTGGGCAACATGGTGAAACTCCATCTCTACAAAAACATACAAAAACTAGCTGAGCGTGGTGGCATATTCCTGTATTCCCAGCTACTCAGGAGGCTGAGGTGAGAGGGCCACCTGAACCCAGAGAGGTCAAGGCTGCATTGAGCCATGATTGTGCCACTGCACTCTAGCCTGAGTGACAGAGTGAGACCTTGTTTCAAAGAAACAAAACCCAAAACAAACAAACAAACAAAAAACTTACCCCAAAACTTAATCACCTGAATCAACAAGTATTTATGATCTTTTTTTCTATAAAGACACAGAACTTTGGGAGCAGCTTAGATGGGTAGGTAGCTGTGGCTCAGGGTTTCTCATGAAGTTGCAACCATGCTAAGGACGACGGGCTGGAGGACCCACTTTTAAGTTCATTCTTGTGGGTGCTGGCAGGAGACCTCAGAATGAGTGCTCTAAGAGAGAAAAAGGAAGAAGTCACGCTGCCCATCCCCTTTTTGTGGCAATAATTGTATTGAGATATAATTCATATGTCATATAATTCACCCATATCAAGTGAACTATTACATGGTTTTTAGTACATTCATGGAGTTATGCATCCATGACCACAACTAGTTCCTTAAGAAGAAACCTCATATACTTTGGCTGTTACTCCTTAACGCCTGGCCCCCTATCCTCCTCAGCCCTAAGCAACCACTAATTTACTTTCTGTCTCTATATATTAGCCTATTCTAGACAATTAATATAAGTGGGATCATATGACATGTGACTTCTTTTTTATTTTTTGCGATAGGGTCTTGCTCTGTTACCCAGACTGGAGTACAGTGTTGCAGTCATAGCTCACTGCAGCCTCAATCTCTTGGGCTCAAGTGATCCTCCCTCCTCAGCCTCCCAAGTAGCTACGTGTCACCACGTCTGGCTAATTTTTAAAAAATTTTGTAGAAACATGTTATCTCTATGTTGCCCAGGCTGGTCTTGAACTCCTGAACTCAAGCAATCCTTCTGCCTTGATCTCCTCAAGTGGTGGGATTTCAGGTATGAGCCACCACTTATTATTTTTTTCTTTTTGAGACGGAGTCTCACTCTGTCACCCAGGCTGGAGTGTAGTGGTGTGATCTCAGCTAACTGCAACCTCCACTGCCCAGGTTCAAGTGATTCTTGTGCCTCAGCCTCCTAAGTAACTGGGATTATAGGCACACACCACCATGCCTGGCTAATTTTTGTAGTTTTAGTAGAGATGAGGTTTCACCATGTTGGCCAGGCTGGTCTCAATCTCCCGACCTCAGGTGATCCAGCCCACCTCAGCTTCCCATAGTGCTGGGATTACAGGTGTGACCACCGTGCCTGGCCTTGTGTACAAGTTTCCCGGTAGACATGTGCCTTCATTTCTTTTGGGTACATACCTAGAAGTAGGATTTCCAGGACAAATGGCAACAGTGTATTTAAAATTTTGAGAAACTGGCAGATGGTTCCCAAAGTGGCTTGCCAAATCCAAGAACACAAAGATTTACCCCTGTGTTTTCTTCTAAAAGTTTTGTAGTTTTGGCTCTTACATTTAGGTCTTTGATCTACCTTTTTTTTTTTTTTTTTGGTGAAGTTTTGCTCTGTCACCCAGGCTGGAGTGCAGTGGTGCAAACTCGACTCACTGCAACCTCTGCTTCCCAGGTTCAAGCAATTCTTCTGCCTCAGCCTCCCTATTAGCTGAGATTACAGGTGCATGCCACCACACCTGGTTAATTTCTGTATTATTAGTAGAGACAAGTTTTTACCATGTTGGCCAGGCTGGTCTCAAACTCCTGACCTCAGGTGATCCACCTGTTTCGGTCTCCCAAAGTGCTGGGATTACAGGTGTGAGCCACTGCATCCAGCCTTTGATCCACTCTGAGTTAATTTTTGTATATGGTGTGAGATACGGGGTCTGAATTCATACTTTTGCATGTGGCTATTCAGCTTCCCAGCACCAAGATTGTTCTTTTTTCATTGAATGGTTCTAGTACTCTTGTCAAATGTCAATTGACCATAGATACTTAGATTACTTTCTAGACCCTCAGTTCTATTCCATTGGTCTATATATCTATCCTTATGCCAGACTAGACTGTCTTTAAAAATTTTTTATTTTATTTTATTTATTTTTATTTTTTATTTTATTTTTTCGAGACAGGGTCTCACTCTTTCACCCAGGCTGGAGTACAGTGGTGTGATCATGGCTCATTGCAGGCTCAATGTCCTGAGTTCAACTGATCTCCCACCTCAGCCTCCCCAGTAGCTGGGACCACAGGCTTGCACCGCCATGTCTCGCTAATTTTTTTTTTTCTTAATTTTTGAAGAGACAGAGTCTTGCCATATTGCCCAGGCTGGTCTCAACCTCCTGGGCTCAAGCAATCCTCCCTCTCAGTCTCTCAAAGTACTGGGATGACAGGCTTGTACCACTATGACCAGCCCAGGCTGTCTTGATTACTGTTGATTTCTAGTCAGTTTGAAATCAGGAAGTGTGAATCCTCCAACTTAGTTCTTCATTTTCAAGGTTGTTCTGGCTATCACACTGCCTTTTATGTCTTAATAGCAGACATCATAAATCATCACTTATGCCACTCTATTACTAGAAGTAAGTTCCTAAATCCAGCCCACATTCTAGGGGAGATTTAGGATCCTTCTCTTGAAGGGAGGAATATAAAATAATTTCTGGACATATTTCCAAGCCACCACTAATAGTAAATACTAAACACTTGGTTATGTGGCTTGCTTTCTTACTCAACAATACATCTTGGAGATAGTTCCATATCAGTGTGTAAAGAACCACCTTTTTCTTAAAAACTGCATAATAAACTATTTTTTTTTGAGACGGAATCTCGCTCTTGTCCCCCAGGCTGAAATGTAGTGGCATGATCTTGGCTCAGTGCAACCTCCACCTCCCAGGTTCAGGTGATTCCCCTGCCTCAGCCTCCTGAGTAGCTGGGATTACAGGCATCTGCCACCAGGCCTGGTTAATTTTTTTTTTTTTTTAGTAGAGACAGGGTTTCACCATGTTGGTCAGGCTGGTCTCGAACTCCTGACCTCAGGTGATCCACCCGGCCTCGGCCTCCCAAAGTACTGGGATTACAAGAGCCACTGCACTAAGCCAACAACTGCATAAGAAACTTTTCTATAGATGCACATGATTTAATTAATATTTATTTACAATATTTTGGTATAATAATGCTTCAGTGAATAATGTTATTTCTAAATAATCTAATACATGTGTAAGTATAAGGCTAAAGCCCTAGAAGGGGAATTGCTGGATTAAATGATATATACATTTATGATTTGACAGATGCATCAACAGTGCCCTTCACAGAGGTTGTACAAAGTTACCCTCCCACCAGAGACGTATGATAGTACCTGTTTCTCCATGTCCTTGCCAACTGAGTGTATTATCAAATATTTCATTTTTTTCCAACTTCATAGATAGAAAACACTCTCTTATTGTGGTAATTTGCCTTTCTATTATTATGAATGAGATAGAATACCTCTTTTATATGTACAGTTGTTGTATTTCATATATATATATATATTTAAACTGTCTTAAATCTTTTAAAACCAATATAATGGTATTTTTCCACTTTGATTTGTAAAAGCTCTTTATCTACTAAGAAAGGTAGCCTTCTGTATGTGAGATGAATTACAAAAATTGCTTCCCAGTTTATCTTTTGACTTTGTCTATGGATTTTTTTGCCCCATAGGGAAATTGTTTTCTTCTTACCATAAGCAAATCATCAATTCTATCTTTTATGGCTGCTGGGTTTAGTGTTAAACCTAGAAAGGCTCTGAAGTGTATCAAGCCTGAGGGGAACATGATTGGATCTGGTTGTTTGTGGAGAGGATGGATTGGAGGTGTCAGGAGGACAAAGGTTGGACTATTCTCTCTTTAAAAAAAAAAAAAAAAAAAAAAAAAAGAGGTTTCACCATGATGGTCAGGCTGGTCTTGAACTCCTGACCTCAGGTGGTCCACCCACCTCAGCCTCCCAAAGTGCTAGGATTACAGGCATGAGCCACCCCGCCCGGCTCTTCTTTTTTTTTTTTAAAGACAGAGTCTCGCTCTATCACCCAGGCTGGAGTGCAATGGCGCAATCTCAGCTCACTGCAACTCTGCCTCCTGGGTTCAAGTGATTCTTCGGCTTCAGCCTCCCAAGTAGCTGGAACTACAGGCGCCCGCTACCACGCCCAGCTAATTATTGTATTTTTTAGTAGAGATGGGGTTTCGCCATGTTGGCCAGGCTAGTCTAGAACCCCTGACCTCAAGTCTAGAACCCCTGGGATTACAGGTGTGAGCCATTACACCTGGCCCCAGAGCAGTTTAATGCATTATGAGTGCCCCGGATCAAGAATCTGTACCTGGCACATAGGTGTTTAATTAATGTCTATCGAATGAATGAATGATGATATCAGATTTAAGTCTCAGCTCTGCCACCCACTCCTTTGGAGGAAGCACAGTTTAGTGGTCAAAAAACCTGAATTTGGGCCAGATGTGGTGGCTTATAACTATAATCCCAGCACTTTGAGAGGCCGAGGTGGGTGGATCACCTGAGTTCAGGAGTTAGAGACCAGCCTGGCCAACGTTGGGGAATCCCATCTCTACTAAAAATACCAAAAAATTAGCCAGGCATGGTGGTGTGCGCCTGTAATCCCAGCTACTCAGGAAGCTAAGGCAGGAGAATCACTTGAACCTGGGAGGCGGAGGTTGCAGTGAGCCAAGATCACTTCACTGCACTCTAGCCTGGGTGGCAAAGCAAGACTCCATTTAAAAAAAAAAAAAATCAGGCCAAGCGTGGTGGCTCATGCCTGTAATCCCAACACTTTGGGAGGCTGAGGCAGGTGGATCACGAGGTCAGGAGTTTGAGACCAGCCTGACTAATGCAGTGAAACCCATCTCTACTAAAAATACAAAAAAATTTAGCTGGGCATGGGGGCACACGCCTGTAATCCCGGCTACTCAGGAGGCTGAGGCAGGAGAATCTCTTGAATATGGGAGGCGGAGGTTGCAGTGAGCCAAGATTGCGTTATTGCACTCCAGCCTGGGCGACAGAGTGAGACACCATCTCAAAAAGAAAAAGAAAGAAGGAAGAAAGGGAAGAAGGAAGGAAGGGAGGGAGGGAGGGAGGGAGGGAGGGAGGGAGGGAGGGAGGAAGGAAGGAAGGAAGGAAGGAAGGAAGGAAGGAAGGAAGGAAGGAAGGAAGGGAAAGAAGGAAACCTGAATTTGAATCCTGATCATGGGGTTACCAACTAAGTGTTCTCAGGAATGTTACCTGCTTTCTGAGTCTCAATTTATTCACCTATAAAATGGTGAACATAATAATAGCTGGCTCATGGGGCTGTTGAAGGATTGATTGTGAATTTGTCTGTACACCATGGCATAAACAAAATCCTTAATAAGTGTTAGCAATTATTATTTGTTGCTTTGTGACCAGAATCAAATCACTTTGGCTTCAACTTTCCAACGTTCCGTGGCCTGTGCTAGAACAAGGGAGAAAGGATTGAAAAGTGGGAAGAGTTGGGAGAAGAGCCTGGAGAAGTAGTTAGGGCTGGCTTATGGAGGGTCTTGACAGTGGCTTTGGAGTTTGGGTCTTATTCTTAGATGATGAACAATCACTTTCAGGCATGCAAGTAACCAGGGCCAGATGTGGGTTTAGAAAGATGGCTTGGGAGGCTGCTGTGGAGAATAGACCGGTTGGAGGCTTGATGGGAGCAGAGAGCCCAGGAAGAAGGTGGTCCAGGTGAGAGATGCCAACGATGGCAGAGGGAGAGGAGGAGAAAGATTGGAGGCTTATTTAGAAGACCAAAGGCTGTGTTGAGTTTGAAGACAAGGCAGTTGTTATGATGACTGCAAGTTTCTTATGGATGATTGGATCTGTGCAGTGACATTCACAAAGGATGTAGGATGAAGATCAGATATGAGGCAGAGGAAGAGAAGGTCTGTTTGGGAAACACTGATTTTGAGGTTCTTATGGGATGCACAAGAGGAAAGGTCCAGTGAATGTTTGGATACTGAGGTCTGGGGATAAGGAGAAGCTTCTCAGCTGTGGATGGCGATTTGAGGCATCATCGTATGAATCTAAGCATGGGTGAAATTGCCCAGCGACAATGTATGGAGGGAGAAGAGACAGCCTAGGGAACAGCAAACTTAAGGGGCAGGTGGAAGAGGAGGAGCCAGAAAAACCAACTGCGAGACGAGTCAGAACTGGGGAGGCAAATTAGCAACTGAGGGGCTGGGGAAGACAGGCTGGAGGAAGGCTGCATGTCTGGAGGAGAAGGTGGACTTGGAAGGGATGGGGAGAACAGCAGGAGGCTTTTCACCAAATCCTAGAGGTGGATGTGGCAGAGCCAGCCTAGGACAATAGGGGGAACCCAAGGAGGGAAAGATGCTGAGGTTATTAACAGGCTGTGGACTCCATGCAGGCTGGGCCTAGGGTGGCAGGTAAGAGTAAATGCTGTTAACAAATAATTACCACACAAAGTGATGGGGGTTCCATCTCTCCATGAGGCATCTGCGATGCCAGATGCAATTATTTGTTTTCCCAACAGTGCCCCCCTCCAAAACTGTGAGCCCCTCAAGATCTGGAACCATGAGTTGAGACTGAATCACTTAGAAGAAGAGTGTTCCAGGTACAGGGGATGAATTTGACACGTTTTCAGGGACAGAAAGGAGGGCAGTGTGGCCAGAGTGCAAGCAAGAGGCTGAATGGCACCAGAGGAAATGGAGGGAGGCGGGGGCCTGGAAGGCATGGTCAACTGTTGCCAGTATTTTATTCTGAATGCCCTGGGGAGACAGTTAATTAGGAGAGTGATACCTTCTGGTTTCTTATTTTTTTTTTTAAGACAGGGTCTTGCTCTGTTGCCCAGGCTGGAGTACAGTGGCACAATTATAGCTCACTGCAGCCTCAGATTCCTGAGCTCAAATGATCCTCCTAATTTCAGACTTCTGAGTAGCTGGGACTACAGGTGTGCACTACCACACCTGGCTAATTTTATTTTAGAGATGGGGTTTCACTGTGTTGTACAGGCTGATCTCGAACTCCTGGCCTCAAGCAATTCTCTCACTTCACTCTTCCAAAGTGCTGGGATTACAGGCATGAGCCACTGTGCCCGGCCATGATACCATTTGTTTTTGAATGTTCATTCTGATGCTGAATGGGGAACAGGTGACAGTGGGTCAAGGGTAGAAGCAGAGAAACCAGTTTGAGGGTGACTGTGGCAATCAGGGAGGAAGATCATGGGTCTTGAAACAGGGTGGTAGCTAGCAGTGGAGATGGGGAGAAAGGATCTGGCGCTGGACATTTTTTGGAGGTTGAGCCAGTCAGCCTTGCAAATGGATTGGCTGTGGAGGTGAGGAAAAGGGAGGAGCTAGGATACTTCGCAGGCTGCCCTCAGCATCTGGGTTGTTGGATGCCACAGGAGACCCCTCCTAGATGCTGATAGGGGCATTAAGATTGGGTCTGGATCTCTCATTTTAGAAGGAAAAGCTCAGCCTCCCTTGTAAGATAAGCCCCTGCCCTGGATGGGCAGAAACAGAGCCGGCTGGTCAGACCTGGTAGAGAGGGCCTGTGGACAGGTCTCCCCAACCCACCTCCTGAACTTCTGTCTCCTGGGGGATCCCTCAGTGAGACAATTGTCACCACGGCCACCTTGTGTCCTTGGGAAGCCATTCCCTTTGAAAGCTGTGGCCCCCTGGCCAGACCCGGTGGCTCATGCCTGTCATCCCAGCACTTGGGTGAGGCGGGTGGATCACCTGAAGTCAGGAGTTCATGACCAGCCTAGCCAACGTGATGAAATCCTGGCTCTAAAAAAATACAAAAATTAGCCGAGCATGATGGTACATGCCTGTAGTTCCAGCTACTCAGGAGGCTGAGGCTGGAGAACCACTTGAACCTGGGAGGCAGAGGTTGCAGTGGCCAAGATCACACCACTGCACTCCAGCCTGGTGACAAGGGTGAGACTTCATCTCAAAAAAAAAAAGAAAGAAAGAAGGAAGGAAAGAGGCCAGGTGTGGTGGCTCACGCCTGTAATCTCAGCACTTTGGGAGGCTGAGGCAGGTGGATCACCTGAGGTCAGGAGTTCAAGACCAGCCTGGCCAACATGGTGAAACCCTGTCTTTAAAAAAAGAAAGAAAGAAAGAGAGAAAGCAAGCAAGCAAGCTATGGCTGTAGTGTGAACAGAAATCATTCACTGGACTCCCCTCAGCCCCAAACCCAGCCAGGTCCAGGTCCTTCTGGAAAAAAACCTTCCCAAATCAAAGGAGAGACTGTCAGAGGACACAAGCAGATGGCTGTGTATTCTGTGCCACACTGATTCTTTGTATATCTCGCCTTTTCTAAGTTGTATTTCTTTTAAAAAAATTATCACTGTTCTTTGTGGAAAAATTGGAGAATATATTTTGAGCAGAATTACACCCATAGTCTTACTCTCCCAGCAATGTCATTCTTAACTGCATGGTCTCTACTCATAATAGTATAGAGTGCTGGTTAGAAGCAGGCTGTCTGGGTCCAAATCCTGCAACTTACCAGTTGTGTGACCCTGGATAACTTGGATAACCTCGAACCTCTTGCACCTCAGTGTCCCCATCTGTAAAAAGAAGATAATAACAGTATGTGTGCCATAGAGTTGTGGGAATTAAATGAACTAACATGTGTAAAGTACTTATTAGAGCACCTGGCGTGGTAAATTCTATAGAGCTATTTGCTGCCACTGTGTGAACATTTTTCCAAAAAAGAAATTATGCTATGTGTTATTTTTAAAAGAATTTTGAAACCTAATACATCATGAGTATTTCTTATATGTCATTAAATCTTCCTCAACATACTTTTAGTAGCTGAATAGTATTCTGTGGTATGAAAGAGCTATATTCCTGTATTGATATGGTAAGGGTTTTTGTCTTTCTTTCTTTCCTTCATTATTTCTCTGCCTTCTCCTCCCCTTGCTCTTATACCCTCCCTCCTTCTCTTTTTCTTCTCCCGCCCCATCTCTCTCTTTTATAAACAGCAATGTGATTAAAATCCTCAGAGCTAAATCTTACAGCACATCCATGAACCCTTTCTTATGACAAGTTCCTGGAAATTGGCAAGCTCAATCAAAATGTGTTTAAAGGTTTTATTTTTTGGTTTTTGAGATTAATCCATGATTTCTATAAGTTACATTTGACCTGTGCATTGCTTTTCTTTGTTGCCTTAATTATTTCATTGCAAGCAAATAAAAATATCTGGCAGTAGTCACTTACTAGCAGCCAACCCCCACCCACTTTATGGTTTCTGTTAGTAATTTATTCAGCTGGCTTCAAATTCAAAAGGTGCAACAGGTTAAGAGAAAAATCTGCTCCCCCAGCTACCCATTGCCCCTCTTTAGAAGGAGCCAAGGTTGTCGGTGTCTTATAAATATGTCCAGAAACAGTTTATGTACCTGCAAGAAAATATACCCCACATACATATGATTTACCGTCTCTATTGAAATGGGAACATCGTGTAGTATTTGTTACCGTGAGCCTTGCCTTTCACTTAGCAGGGTATCCAGAGATCATTCCACATCAGCACATAAGGAGCTTCCTCATTCTCCTTAATGACTGATTATATTACTGAATGCTACTGCAGAGGGGCACTATACCTAATCAGTTACCTACTGGTGGGCATTTATTTCCAATGTTTGCTTATTACACATCATGGTATGCAACAATTTTTTTTTTTTTTAAGAGACAGGGTTTCACCATGTTGGCCAGGATGGTCTCGATCCCCTGACCTTGTGATTCACCCACCTCGGCCTCCCAAAGTGTTGGGATTACAGGTGTGAGCCACCACGCCCGGCCAATTTTTTTTTTTTTTTTTGAGAAAAGGTCTCGCTCTGTCTCCCAGGGTGGAGTGCAATGGGACAATCTCAGCTCACTGCAACCTCTGCATCCCAGGCTCAAACGATTCTCCTGCCTCAGCCTTCCAAGTAGCTGGGACTACTGCATGGTGGCATGCACCTCCATGCCCGGCTAATTTTTTGGTATTTTTTGTAAAGATGGGGTTTTGCCATGTTGCCCAGGCTGGTCTCAAACCCCTTGGCTCAAGTGGTCCACCTGCCTCAGCCTCCCAGAGTGCTGAAATTACAGGTATAAGCCACTGTGCCCGGCCCTATGCAACTTTTTTTTTTTTTTTAAGTCACACATCTACAGCCCAAAGAAAATCACAAAGTGAACATGACGGTAGAAAAGCACCCAGGTCATAAACCTCATTCTCCCTTCCAGGCACTCCCCTAAAGCTAACCACTATCCTGAATTTTAATCCTATAGACTAGTTTTGCCTGTTTTTGAAATGTATGTAAGTGGGATTACAGTTTTGCTTCACATTATGGCTGTTAGATTCATGTAGGTTGTTGCAGGTAACCACAGTTTGTCCATCTTCACTGCTGTATACTATCTCATTGGATTAAACTGCACAATTTATTTATCCATTACATTGTTAATAGACACTTGGGTTACTTCCAATCTGGGACTGTGAATTAAGCTCCTACGAACATTTTGGTGAGCTCATCTACACAGTTCAGCTGGGGATAGCCTGAAAAGAGTGGTCTCGGTTTAGGGGATGGTTCATTGGGTTCAACCCCAGGAGACACTATGGCAAGCAGCTTTTGGAGACTGTTACACCCAGTGCTGGATCACCTTCCAGTGCCTGCCCGCTTTGAACTTCTAGACTTTTTCCTACTCTTGCTGAGGAGGGTCCTAACACATAGGGGACATGTGGCATGGGGTGGGAAGGTGAAGGTTCCTTTGGTAGCTTCTGCAGCCCCACACTGTCCTCCAGGATCCCTGCAACAGCAGAATCTTCTGCCCCCCGAGACCTGTTTCTCCCCTCTTGCTGAGCTTCCATCTGCAGGGCCTGGGGGACAGGGACCCAGGTATAAAAGCAGGAGGTGGCATATCAGAGAGGCCACATCAGGGGAGAAGGGAGTGGGGCCTCCGGAGAGTCTGTTCGGGGACAGAAGACCCTGAGCACACCCAGTCTGACCCCCTGTAATGGATGGCAGCTGTGTTGAGTCATGCACAGAGGGGCAACTGAACACAAAAAAGGCCTCCCTCTAGGAGTGCCCAGCTGAGCTAGGGCCTCTTGGGTGTAACAGTGTTTTAATGAAACTCTATTAAAAAGCTAAGCATAGGCCAGGTGCAGCGCTTCATGCATGTAACCCCAGCACTTTGGGAGGCCAAGGAGGGAGGCTTGAGGCCAGGAGTTTGAGACAAGCCTGGAAAGAGAGTAACACTCCATTTCTACAAAACATTTAAAAATTAGCTGGGTGTGGTGGCTCATGCCTGTAGTCCCAGCTACTGGGGAAGCTGGGGCAGGAGGATCACTTGAGACCAGTTTGAGGCTGCAATGAAACACCTGGGTGACAGGGTGGGACCTTGTCTCTAAAGTATAATAACAATAGCTCAAGGCTGGGCACAGCAGCTCATGCCTGTAATCCCAGCATTTTGTGAGGTCAAGGCGGGCAGATCAACTGAGGTGAGGAGTTTGAGACCAGCCTGGCCAACATGGTGAAACTCATCTCTATTAAACATTTAAAAAAATTAGCTGAGTGTAGTGGTGCACACCTGTAATCCTAGCTACTCGGGAGGCTGAGGCATAAGAATTTCTTGAACCTGGGAGGCAGAAGTTGCAGTGAGCCAAGATTACACCACTGCACTTCAGCCTGGGTGACAGAGTGAGACTCTATCTCAAAACAGCAACAACTAAAAAACAATAGCTCAGCATAAAATGCATCATGAAAAGGCTTTACATAAAGGTACATTGATAGCACAAGCTTTAAAGAAAACAAACACCTGGGCATAATGTATATGTTCTCTTATTCTTTACCTCTTCTTAGGCTCATCCTAGTTTTATTCCCTAAACTCAAGTAATCTTCCTTTGAACTCTCCTTTCCTTTTTTAGTTATTTCTTTTCTTTTTCTGAGATGGAGTCTCACTGTGTCACCCAGGCTAGAATGCAGTGGCCCGATCTCAATTCACTACAACCTCCCCTTCCCAGGTTCAAGTGATTCTCCTGCCTCAGCCTCCCAAGTAGCTGTGATTACAGGTGTGCACTCCCACGCCCGGCTTATTTTGTATTTTTAGTAGAGACAGGGTTTCACCTTGTTGGCCAGGCTGGTCTCGAATTGTTACCTCAGGTGATCAACCCGCCTCTGCCTCCCAAAGTGCTGGGATTACAGGCATGAGTCACCATGCTGGGCCGAGCTTCTTAATTATTTCTTAAAAGCTTGAGAGGATTCCATGACTTGAAATAGGTGGAATAGGATTAGACATAATAACATTGTTTTAACTAAAAAAACAGTAACATGTAGCCCAGGTGCAGTGCCTCTTGCATGTAACCCCAGCATGAGGCACCTTTGGGAGGCCAAGGAGGGAGGCTTGAAGCCAGGAGTTTGAGACAAAACCAGGAGATTTTTCTTTTCTTTTCTTTCTTTCTTTTTTTTTTTTTTCTGAGATGAAGTCTCACTCTGTTACCGAGGCTGGAATGCAGTGGCCTGATCTCGGCTCACTGCAACCTCCCCTTCTCAGGTTCAAGCAATTCTCCTGCCTCAGCCTCCCAAGTACCTGTGATTACAGGTGTGCACCACCAAGCCTGGCTAATTTTTGTATTTTTAGTAGAGACGAGGTTTCACCATGTTGGCCAGGCTGATCTCGAATTGTTACCTCAGGTGATCCACCCGCCTTGGCCTCCCAAAGTGCCGGGATTATAGGCATGAGCCACCATGCCTGGCTGAGTTTCTTAGTTATTTCTTAAAAGCTCTTCTTCCCCGCCTTCCTCCCTATCTTCCTCAAGCCATTTCTCAGAGGTAACCGTCATTAAGCTGCTTCTGTATCCTTCCAGAAATGCTTATAGATACTCCAGCTTATATGCAGGCATACCTCCTTTTATTGTGCTTTGCTTTATTGAGGTTTACAGACTGCATTTTTAATAAATTGAAGGTTTGTAGCAACCCTCAGTCGATCAAGTGTGTCGGAACCACTTTCCCTGCGGCACGTGCCCACTTCGTGGCTCTGTGTCACAGTTTGAAATTTTCACAATATCTCAAACCTTCTGTTATGATTATATTTTTATGGTGATCTGTGATCAGTGATCTTTGATGTTACTATTGTAATTGCTTTGAGTGCCCATATAAGACGGCAAACTTCAGAAATAAATGTGTGTATTCTGATTGCTCCACCTGCTGGCTGTTCCCCTGTCTCTCTCCCTCCTTTGGCTTCCTTATTCCCTGAGACACAACAATTTTGAAATTAGACCAATTACATGGTGGCGTGTGCCCCTGTAGTCCCAGCTACTCAGGAGGCTGAGGCAGGAGAAGCACTTGAACCCAGGAGGCAGAGGTTGCAGTGAGCCGAGATCGCGCCACTGCACTCCCCCAGCTTGGCGACAGAGTGAGACAAAGAAATTTGGCCAATTAATAACCCTGTAATGGCCTATAAGTGTTCAAGTGAAAGGAAGAGTCATACATCTCTCATGTTAAATCAAAAGATTGAAATGTGGGCTGGGCATGGTGGCTCTCGCCTGTTATCCCAGCATTTTGCGGGAGGCTGAGGCTGGAGGATTTCTTGAGGT